GACATAAAAAGTGTCATGTTCAGAGGAGAAACCTTTACAAAAGCGAACTCTGACATCTTAGTAAAGACTAATATGTCTAAGGTGAAAACATGGAAGATAAATAACCACATGACGCATAAAGATACCAGTTCTTTTTCGAATAGCTCACAAAACAATAGGGAGTAAAAAGACAGCTACCGAAAGCAAGTAACATACTGGAGTGTGAATTCTCATTTCTAGTCCAACACTTACGAACTACTCATAAATCATAAGTAGGTAAACATATTTACTGGAAAAAACATATGTACTCAAATTCACCTATTTGCTGGGAATTTTTACATGCTGACAGATAAATGGAAACGTATGGTTACTTACGCACAGAGTTATGCACAATCACATAAGAAATACATGATAGCTGGTATTATATTTAGGGAGTGATTGGTTAGAACATTTCCTGATGAATACCATAAATTGTAAATATTCATGTACGTAACTACTTAATTACGGGTTAGTGTAAAAGCCCTGTTACAGAGCCACGAAGTTGTTTTCACCGGAAAAGCATGATAGAAAATGGACAAACCCAATCATTTATAACAAAAGGTGGCAGCTAATACTGAAGCCTAAAGTATGTTTCCATTGCACTGTCACTCAGTGTTCACATAATGGAAATAGTAATTAAGAATTCAAAGTATATTTACCACCGAAATGATTATTCTAAGGTAGTGCAGAAGATTTTCAACTCATATGGATCGATTCGGTGATTTTATTGCACTGAGATGGAAGGTTTAACCGTAAAATTCCCATCTCATTCTAGACAATATAATTAACAAAAACTTAAGTGGCGGTGAGTTAGTTATCCGGATTTGTCCATATATGACTGTATTTATCCTATCGATTGCTTATCGTTTACCTTTGTCCTGCCATTGTGCACATGTTTACCTCGATTGTCTCCACCCTTGACCTGATACTTAATCTTAAATTTATCTATAGTTTTTCTAATTAGTAAATTTCGTGGTTCTCGATGCTTATTTACTAGTGATTAGCCTGAGTATCAGGATTCTTTTGTCTGTTCATTGCGTTCACTATATCTAAAACACGTGTCCAGTTTTTCAAGCACATAAATTCTATTTTATCACTATGGTTGAGTATGGGTTTCCGTACTTCAATAAGACAGATGACTTTGGCTCTCCAAGTAGATTATCTACATGAAATAAAAAGAGTTAAGCAGTCTACCATGTGACTCCAGTCTTCTTATGAGGACCAAGTACTGTTCACATTCACAAGTCTCCTATCACTCAGAAAGTCCGGAATTCAATTCTTAAATTTACGATACACTGAGTTTTCCAATTCTAATTTAAGGTGAAATATAATACCGAGATCTATAAAGATCATGTCGATTGTAATACGTATATCTTGAATTACAACCAATATATGAGTGACTAGCTTGAAAACTATGTTATCCTCGGGCTATAAGATCATTCCCTTCATATGACGTAGAATAGCAGCGCGAACCATCATATCCATTAACTAAACAATAATACTGGCAAGGTTAGCCGGATAATTATTTCCCAAATTTTGCGAACCAAACTGATAACAACATCGATTTAACCAAACTGAGTCGTGCGATTTTTTTATTTAGTACCGCTATCCTCAAATAAAGTTCAATTAAGGAGTGAAAAGTTCTGATCTTTTACACATGACTACTTATGGTGACAAGTAAACAATGCAAAATTATGATCCTACAATATTTGTAAATGAAAATAGAGACAATGCAAACATATTTAATTATAATAAACTGTACATCCAATGTTCAATTTATTAGGGATTATCAAATTAAGCCTTGGTAGTGACACTTACAATCCGAAACTAGAATGAAAGCCTTCTAAATTGATGAGTAGAGTGATTTAATATTTATTGGGAGGCAAAACCACTCGCTGAATCAAAGTCATATAAGTTGGAAAAGTGATTAGATTGAGGTGAGATTACTGACTTGAGACAAAACGACTATTCCTGTTGAATAAAATACATGTGTTTTAGCACATACATTTACAGACTGACTAGACTGTATATAATATACAATTAATTATTATGGCGAAATCCCGGTGCATATCTCCAAAAAAACATTTTAGATATTGAGGTAGTTAACTGCAATACACGTTTTCAAGTTTATGGAGCCATAACCTTCTCTTTAATTCACAAACCAGATGCAGACTAGTGTTCCTAGAGCCATATTGAGTAAAGGTTCAGTGTAACTCTACAATTTATAAATGCTGATAATCCGAAAGAGGTTGAAAGCTCTGTTTGTGAAAACTGGAACTCGAGAAGTTATGAAAAAACCAAGGTAGTCTACAGTTCGGAATACGAAGATATATATTCTTTCCTGAGGAAAATTTTTATTGCATTTTCATGTGGCGGAACTTGCTTGGACTTAGAATAGTAACGAACAAACACTTCATTATCAAAAATTCGAACGTAAACGCATGGCTACACACAGTACGTGACAGGAAATTAAATGATAAAAACAGCTATTCATTACATAGTTGGTGGATATCAGTAATCAGGTAGTAACTCAGACTTATGAATTGTCTGTAAAATTACTTAATACATCGGTTAGACATAGCACTTTGTTGCATAAAACCTTGATACATATAACCGGGCGAGAGCGCATTGCTTTGAGTAGTGAACAGAAATTCCATATTGGTCGGTACTCTAATTTTTAACAATTTCCCCGGCAATAATCAGCTTAGTTTGTATAGGACAACAAATAAAATCTATGGTGTTAAATTGTACGCTCACTATCAACGTAAGAACAGTTAAAACATAAATGAGACCTAATTGCTAATATTGTTTATTCGTATTTCATTGTAACTTTTACTAAAACCAGCCAACTAAGTGGGTACAGAATGGAAATATGGCTGTTATTTACAAAAACTATGATAGTTTTCACTGTAATTAATATGCTTCTGTTGTTTGCAGGAAAGTGTTAACAACCGTACACATGAAGGTAACATGTTTTGTAATAAACTGTATTATTTAGGTTGCCGAAACTTCTATTTTGGTTAAAATTAAACTAAAACATGCTAACCAGTAGTGCTTTCAAGTTCGCTGGAGCCTATATTTTGGTATGCAGACAACAACCGTCACCTTATGGCCCAAAATGGATAGCAGGCGTAAGATAAACATCGCGTATTTCGGATAAAGTACATTCACAGACGGACATATTAATAAAACTAGCAAATAAGATGACCTGCAGATCAAGGTACTTTCAAACCATATTTAAAGTAGGTAAGAGGAATATAATAACGACTATAAAACATCAAAAATTTACTGATTAAATCATAGTGATGTTTCTGCTGACTGTAACAGAACAATTTATGCTATAATATACACGCAGTCTTAGTGAGAAAACTGAAACCTCATTTATAACTATAACTAAAAACATTTGAGATAACTGAGCACACACATGTTTTGCACCCAAATGCCCAGGTACGGCGGAGTCAACTCTCCCTCTCCAAATGCTCTCACATGGCCACGTGCATACAACCACTGACAGGGAAGTCCTATTCACTACCTTCTCGCACCACAGGTTTTGTTTACGAAATTTAGAGGACGAAAAGCGAATGCCCGGCGTTTTAACCGGGTTGATTGATATGGAGGACCCACCTAGGGGAGTTGGGAACCCTGGTTGCAAAAAAACGGTGCATATGGGCTACAAGACCCTAAGGAAACACAAATTGTATGATTTATGCGGCGCATATCTATTTGCTGCCTTCTCGTACCTGTTTGTGTTTAAATAATAATAACTACAATGCTCCCCACCGCCTAGATATTATACACCATTCACAATATTCCCACTGGGCAGATTCACGTAGTTTCCCCATACCTTGCAGAGTTTACTAGAAGTTAAAATACTCTTGCTTTCCATTTTGGAATCGCGAGTTCAGTTATTTATAAAGAACATGCTTACATTATCAAATTGCACATCTCAACTTTGCAACGACTTATGTTCACCACTTGAGGATCTAGAAATTAACACACGTTGTCCGACTGAGTTAATCGTCTAAATGAAAACTAGGGCGAACGAATTTTCTAAATGATAGACAAAAGTATTTTATGATTATCCAAGTCGAGACGATCCACGTTCTAGTGAAACGACTCTGGTTTGAATCACGTAATGTAAACCAAAACTAGTGATGTGCACTCCTTAAAAAAGGATTCCTCTCAAGCACAACACCCAAGGCTAAAAGAGTACAATAGAGAAGAAATAAGTAACGATACTCATGTATAAACCAACACCAGCCAGAATGAGTGCTACTAATTTACTAAATATGATACAAATAGTCGGCTTCGAACCCTTTTTATAGACCTCAATTATAATCGCAGGTACTAAAATCGAAAGAGTTGAATGCGAGACTATAATTTATGGAAGAACCAATCATATTTACCACTATGTATATCTAACATTTTGAAAAAAATTGTCTTAGAGCAACAGCTACATTAAAGCGTTTAACTAAGCAAAACATTGGGGATTTTAGTAGTAGAAAGCGGAGTAACAACCGAATAAAAGACAGATAAATGGCGTGCCAGAGAATCACATAACTACAGATATCAAAACCAAACTGTAAACGAGGCTAGAGTCTAGAGAGGTGGACGATTAATAAGACGTAAAAACTGATACTTTTGAACATTAGCTACTCATTAAATACACAGAGAAGCGTCTTGGCTCTTGACTTAATACGTACGTAGTTCTACGTTGTTGCTGACTGACTGTTTTAGGAGACCCGATTACATGCCACATGAGACGCGATAAAACGATATCAATTGATAGTTCCAAAACATAACCAGCTTTAAGAACTCGCTAAGTGATCATGAATGATGGTAACGCGCAACTAACACTGATGTACAGTTCGTCTTATCGTAACTAGCTCAGGTTAGAGCTGCACTAGTAATAGTAACAACCAAAAGTGTTAAAATAAATTGTTTCCATGTGTTTATTATAACAATCGGAATTTACAAGAAACTCATTTCGCCTTCTTGCGATAACTGCATCCTGTAAACATAAAAAAGTTATGGCGATAAGGAAAATTAATTTACCATCAGCTAGCCGTGCTCTTCCACCAGTGGGCTGACATAAAATTCGGTCACATCCAGGACAAACTACAGCTGTCTGTGCGTGACTGAAAACGATCTGGATTTTCAAACAGCCTACAATTCAAGAGTGGATCTGTATGAGCTTACCTGAACACTTAACATCCATGAAAAAGGAATTTGGTGAGGGGACCAAACGTTTTAATTTGCACTTTCGCTTCTCTTCTCGAAAAGACGGATGTAACAAGTCACGAGCGAGCTGTTAAACAAAATTCGTGTTAAGTACAAACAGCACAATATAGAGAATTCCGAAAAAATGTTAACAAAACAGGAAACCACGAAACACAACTAACCGGCATGGTGATCGCGTTACAAGCAACCAAATGTGCACGCGAACCGCGGTTGCTTAAACAAGTCTGAGTTCCAATGTTCAATGAAGAAACAAGGAAAAATCAGAAAAATGAGGGTCTATTTCAACCATATTTGTTACTTTTCTGAGTACGTGTGAGAGGATACATTCAAATTGTTATTCATGTGACCCATGACCAAGGAAGACGATAGTTTGAGTGCATTACTTCTACAGGAAATTATACCAAAGCCTATTTTGATGCGGTACAACACTAGATGAATGATCTTCAGATCTGTTTAAAAAATTTCCGTAGCTTGTCCAACTAGCATTCGGAGCTAGGTGTACAGATAAACTCATCCAAACTGGGTTCAATCGCAACGACAAAAACTTGACTAACGCAGACTGTACATAGTAGAGAATTTCATTTTATAGGTTTCAAGTTGGTAGGAGTAGTGGAACCAAAGCCCGTAGATGAGGAGAAGTAGATCAATCTGTTGAAGCCTGAAATACATAGAACAAGAGTTGCTTATTGGTTTGATCTGCCGCAGTCCAAACTATGTGAAAAATATGGTCTTGCTAGACAGTTTCAACGCTTGGTCTTCAAGTGGTCGATGTTTAGTCATGAAAAATTCCAATATACCTTCGATAGGCTGGAAAACTCTGGGGACTGATTTGCCAGAAAATTATATCAAACAATAGCTAGTCGACGCGGCTATTCCATTCATCCTAGTGCAGCGTGTTAAAGATAAGACTCGGAATCGCTACTAGATCTCGTACTAACCCAACCTGAGGATGGAGTCATAAACATCGACAATATACCGCTTTTAGGTAAGAGTGACCACTCAATTCTAGTCTTCGGTTTCCATATTGTTGTTGAAAACGATATGTCCCCTCAAGCCAGATTGAGTGCTTTAAAGCACATATACAGGAAATTATGAACTCGGGGTCCTCGGTAGGTTATACAATAGAACCCGAATTTCCGTTTGAAACTGCCTGAGAGGTATTCATAAGTTTGTACTCTTTGGACTACACCGAGGGGTAACAGAAACTCACCAGCGTGGCTCAGCAATGAGGTTTATGCTCTCCTCTGTAACAAAGACAGATTGTGGAGGGAGATTCACTTTACTGGGTACTGGTGAAACAGAATCTTAATTTTGGCAGGCTCCGCAAGTCTAGAAGATTGTATAAAGAAAAGCTCGTTAATTATATTCATGCACAAACAAAAGGACTAAGAGAAGAGGCACCATCCTGGCATTTTGGGAGACACAAACACTACACCACTAGTGAGGAGACGATTGCGGTATTTTCGAATTACTTTAACAATGTACATACCTCAGAGATGCCCTCCCTTTCGGTTCATACAAACTTCCACCCATACACTGAACACTGTAACCGTTAAAGAACTCAGTGTCTTTGGGCGCTAATAAGCTTGATACAGTTAAATTCACCAAACGAATCCTAGATCACTGAAGGAACTAAGCAATTCCATCGCAAATCCTTCAAGCCTATGTTTTGACATGTCTGGAGGTATATCACCAAATGACAGAAAAAAACACCAAAGTAAGTCTCATCTTCAAATCATGTATGAAACACGAATCTGAGAACTATCTAAGCCTAACCAACTCGGTTGTTAAAATTTTTTGAAAAGATTTTCGAAGTTTTTTAGGTATCTGTATAAAAACCGAATCCTTTCTTAAAATCAGCACAGCTTTATAACACGTTTCTCATGTCTCACAAACTTATTAGTGGCCCATAAAGGTTCATGAGCCTAAAGACATCAGAAGTTACTTATATATGTAGCCTACATCGACTTCATTAAGTCTTGTGACAACTGATTATTATCTAGGTCATATGATATCGAGACTGATGGCAACTAATTTATGTTGATAAACGACTTCCTAGCTGATGGTCAACAAATGGTAAGATTGAATTCAAAGTTATCTACCTGGAATACTGTGTTTAACGGAATACCTCGGGGTACGGTTTGGGAGGGCTAATGTCGTTCTTTCTGTGTGCAAATAACCATCCACGGTCCCCATTATCGTTTATTTCGTTATATTCTGACGATATCAAGATGTAATGAGAAATAAAAAGATGGTGATTTTTAAAAGCTTTAAAATGACCTGGAGAAATTATCTGAGATATTTAGAATTCGGCAGTTGACGACAAACGCCTCTAAAACCCATTATAACGCACGTTGGTCACCAGGGTATAAACGTGAACAGCAGGTAACGTTGGGCTATCTGTTATCTAGACACAAATTGACTAACGTAGTGTCACTTATTATGTTAAGCCCATATACCTTATTCTAGCATTTGGACAGCCCAGTTTGTTCATTCTACTTGAGTCACATTTTGGCTTTGTTAATTACCCACTTATCAATCTTAGCTGTTTTTATATGAGCGTATGTGTGCATATTTCTTATCCCATTACTCATCACATATCTGTAACTTATTTTTGTGTGACTATAAATATTCATTAACGCTTGGTTCAATGGGACTTGGCTTACCTACCATCTCCACTGCACGACATTTTGCTTCGCTCTACTCCATTCGCTTCATATACAAAATATATGTATTCACAAGTCCATTCTCGTTATTTGACTTATCTAAATCCGTTACTGACTAACGCGATTTGAGTCGATGATTATATACGAGGACAGACAATCTACTTGAAGTCAGATCTTGGGCCACTAAAGTAGAGAGCCTTTCAACGAACATCATCCGATCTAAATGACGACAAAATTAAGAGCCCCACACCTAAAATTGATCGTCACACAAGACCTAAAAACTACAATACTCAGCCATGCGAGAGCCTCCAACAGTACTAGACATCTGCGATCATCATTTCGAGCCTACAGACATGTTGATACTAAAACCTCATTGACTTTGTGCACAATATACGTTCGATCTAAACTTCAGTAAAGAATAAAGCAGCTAGCATATTCCCAAGAGGAGAAGGTAAGCTATTGGAAAAGATTGAAAGAAACCAAAATAAGCTAAATCCTGGAATCGTAAAGCTCCCATATGATGATAGAGTGGTCGGAATAAATCTATCTCTATGGTATTATCGGAGAACCATGAGTGACTTGACCACAGGCTTTACACTACTTATGATAAATTCGCATCTGATACTCCCTCACTTTTTCGTCTTCCAAAAACAAAAGATTACGAGGACACGAACAATTAAAAACCCAGGACAAATCACTTGCCAGATGAGTGTCAAGATTGCTACCGAATCATCGAAAAAAGGAACCACAACACGTAAATAACTCTCCAACTTTCGGTACATTAAAAAGAAATTTGGATTGATTGAGACGCCACCGTCGCCAGGATCAACACGGGCTAACAGCCTCTTATCCTTTCCAACATGGAACTGAAACGGAATCGGTCAGGGACGTGAATACCACATATTCTAATAACAAGTTTGTTGCGAATTTCAGCTGCTGTGTTCACTGAGCTTTTATTTCTAAGATGGTGAAACAAAAGGATGTTTCAGGATCAGAAACACTTTACTGTGTCAGACAAATACAGGTTGGTCATTTCTAGATCAGCGGTGAACAGTGTGTTATGTTCTGCAACCAACTGATAATTGTAGACGGCCTTAAGCAACTAAAACGCAGCGAGGATTTAGAAGACTGATGCTTTATGCTAATACTATAAAGCCCCGAACGGAGAAAAATAACACAATACCATTGTTCACCAGTTTAGGATCGCCGTTACATTTTAAAGCAAACCAAACACCGGACCAATTAGGTAACAGCAACAACACGGAACAACAAAATAATGGTGGGAAAAAGGAGATCAGTTCGGAAATATTAAACATAGAGATGACACTATGGAAGTCGAGGTCAAAGGCCAGTGATGTCAAAGAAAACACAAGTGAATAGGACCCCTGATGATTTGAAGAAGTGAGATATCAAAGAATCAGAAGCCACATCGGTGACGTTTACAACCTGAAGGATATTCTGAGAAACGCTATTCAAGGAAATGGAAAAACATATTGCAACTTGTTTTTGGAATCTTTAGTACGCCCACCTGGTTGGTGCATACAGTGAATAATCTTTTTCAATTCTTTTCCTCTCAATTCCTCGTCGAAAGACATTTTGTCAGTGGAAACATTTTAAAGCAGTGAGTTTGATGGTATCACGAATTAGGCTTGACTTGACGATTCCAAACAAATTGGGCATCAGATGGGCCTAGTTTTTGTAAAACTCGTTGATACATCTTCACACTACCACAAATCGCAGTGATTAGCATGGTTGTGAAGACTGGACATTGAACAACAACTTTGAAAGGTACTTGTCAAAAATATTGACAAGGTAGTCAGAAAGAACCGTGTTTTTCATTTATTTAGGATCTAATTGTTAACTATCCAAGTCAAATACGCATTTTTGGCACACTTCAGCACTACCAAAGCATTCCTACAGAAATAATATCAGAGCAATGAACGTCTGCAGTAGTACTGGTTCGCAACCATACGATTCTTCATGCGGATCATACGATAACTAAGAAGATTCGCATCTCACAGTTGACACTAAGAGGAGGTCAAAAATGATGAAAGCAGAACACTTAATCAGTATGACATGACTCGCCTTAGGCATCGTCATTCTATGTAACATCTTGCTTTTCATACTAAACATAATATTCCATACCTTGCCCAAATGTGTGCCTCAGATTTTCTTGGCTGCAAGCGCTCACAGGCACGACAGTACCGGTCAAAATAGATAATGATGAGACTTTTATGTAAGGTCTGATAGATTAAGTAGATCAAACACACTTTTAGACTGTATTTAAAGGAAACCTGCCGTAGAGGTACTCAAACTAATAAGCGAGCCTCACTTCAAAACTGGGTGTCTCAAATTTAAAATCTGAGCATAATAGAAATAACGAAAGTGGAACATTAATCAGCAAAGATTCCCACAGCCGTAACAGGTCGCTAACATGTCTGATATAATAACTAGTCTTAAGAAGTCTTCCGTAAAGGATCGGAGATAAAATGCATCGCAAGAAGTTTTTGCAAAAATTTTCGCGAGTGAATCAGTGAATTACTGATATCCTTATCACTGGAGATAGTAACAACACTCTCTTGTCATCCTATCGAATGCAAGCCCATCATTTGCTATAGTTCCGTGGTGCCTAGGTGATTACACAAGATACTACGCATTTATCATTTCTGACGTAAAACAGTCCAACTTGACTTCGATTTTGGTATAACCAGTCTTCAATGGTAAGGATACAAAGTCAACAGACCTATGTTGATCCTCCCAATATGTAGTATCGTGATGATCCAAAATGACTTTGGATGTATCAACTGATACTGCTTATATTACGGGTTAGGGAATTCCAAAACTTCACTGTCCGTTTCGAGAAACGGATTTCCACACGTAAGCAGTTTGATCACGGTTTTGAACTTGCTTTGAACATCCTCTCACATTATTATTCCTAGACGGAATGAAGAGATAAAACATTGCCACGAAGACTGTAGTTCAGTATACGGTAAGTCAGTTTCAAATCACCCCGTAACCCGAAATAACGGAAATAGGTTGAGTCGTTTCAGTCTGTATTTTTAAGATGGGCCAGCGAGATCGTTCAGAATTTCAGTCGTTCCATTATATCCACCTCTTATTCACTGCATGAATCTAACACTCAAAATGCGGTCTCATGGAGGTCGGGTATAACACTCCAAAAGTTTCTTCTTCCAAGTAACGGAAACATTTATAAATAGCCCATGAGATCCTGAAGCAGTTACTCGAAGTTCTGAGGTTTCTGGTTGTTATGACTCCTAGACCTACATAGTTCATTACTTAGGACAATACAATTCCACTTATGATATGAGTCATCGCAGTTATTTTTTCATCGCTTCACTATCAATGGAACTGAGTTCAAATGATCGCCTATAAATCCATTCACTCATTGAGTTTCATCCATCCTAGAATATTTTCAATCTGACACACAGTATATGGACCCCCAAGTTTTAATGTCAGCTGCAACGAACAGAATAAATGGCTTTGCTGCAGCAGGTAAGTCATTTACACAATGTAAATAAGGAAAGGGGCCGACGATTGTACCTTTGGGAAATTCGCACGTTGTTAAGGCAGCGTTTACCCGTGTCATTTTTCTCCAATCACCAGTTAAGTTTAACCGGTTTATGATTTCCATTTTTAAGACCTTGTCAAAGGTTATGAATCATATTGCTCAGTAATTGTTGGGATTATCCAATTAATTAAAAGCAGGTCTCAAAATTAAATGGTTTAAGTGTACTATCTCCCAAGGTTTGAGGTTTGAAACAATAATCCAGATTACGGTGTATATTTAATTGTAGACGTTACTGATAGTTGATTGGTTACGTCTGTTCACTTATGCTGTCAGTTGCACAATGGTGTTCTTAATTCGCTCGTAATCCGGAGAACATTGCAAACTGACCATTAAAATGTTTCGAAAAGAACTTTCTCCCACCAGTAGGAGCTGTCACTTTCAAGCCAGTGATATAATCGGTAAGATTCGCTTTTCAACCCTCAATATCCTAACTGCTTAGCTTCTGGTGAAAAGTTCGTATGGGTTAGCAGGTAAATATACAAATTACGTATTAAAGTACCTCTGGTTTGTTCAGCTAATATAGCGAACAAAAAACAATTGTTTTTAAATTTAAATTATACACCGTATTAAGTCTTTAGCCATAGTTTGTCATTTATTACCCAAAGTGGTAACATTATGGTTATCAGAGTTAGTAGCTCCATCACTTACATAGAGTTTAGTAAGAATCCCTAATCAGTGTTTTGAAGCAATCCTCCGACACAATCCAATGTGAACTAAGTAGCACCAGTAACTTACTTTATAAGAATATCTGTCTTTCCAAATTCATTAACAAACACGTGAACGAGAGGAAAATAAGGCCTTTGATAGTAGTTGTTATGCACCTGCGTTTTGTGAAGTTACAATCCAAAAATGACTGTCTGTGAAACACCAACACATAACCTAGGAAAAGCTCTTAACATCACACTCACTGCATCTAAATGGAGTACCGTTTCTTGCAATTGCCCTATAATAAAAATCACCAACAAAGACAAACCAGTTGAATTTACCACATCCATTTGTGTTAATCAATTTAACTGCTCATATGGAGCCGGTTATGTAGTGCACAATTGAGCAAGTCCCTTATATCCTCTAACGACATCACTTATGTGACAAAGAACACCAAGTCAACGTGGATAAAAATTTTTATCGTATTCCACCAAATTTTCTGCAAGGTTTATGAGTTCGCCCTTTGCGCGCTGCTAAAGCTGTCAAAATTAACCGTCACATGAATGTGGTATTCGAAAAAAATCTGTACACAATTTTTCCATACTTTGGCTATCAATATAGAGGATTAAAATGTGGGTCATGATGAAACTTTGATTCACCCCACTTTCTAAAACTTTAGGAATCTCTCTCACTTTCGTGTTATTGCACAAATTTGACATCTGTCCGTTTACTCCTACTTGATAATTATAAAATTGACTGTTAATCTTGACTATTTTTTCATTAAATATCATATCATCTACGAGCCAACGAATTACATGTTTTCACTCTTTACACAGAATTGCTTTGCTTGTTATAATTAGTGCGTTATATTAATCACTTGGTTAATAATTTGTCATCATTTTTGTTTTGATATGTAAAACTACAGCATTATTACGTAAAACTATTACTCAGCATTATCTTATTATTATTGTAAGTCGTATACAAGTGAATGTAGTGATAATAAAAAACTTATCTAAATATATGTTTCTCTCTATTCATCTGCTCATTAAATACTTATTCCGAATTTGCGACTTTGCTAATTATGCCTAGATCGCTATTTCAGGTTTTGAAGCAGAATTCCCACGATAAATAGCGTTCACTGAAATTATTTTTGCGTGTTAGGAAGTTTGATGTAGTTTCCCAGACAGGCAGACTAACGTTTTTCTTACTACATGGCACTTTTTATCAAGGCATACCTACAATGTTAAGGGTAATGATGCTCCTCGTGACATTCAAACTCGCGTCACAGGTTCATAGTCTTAGACTGCAATACTTAGCTATTTGAGCCTCAGCCGGTTTCAGTTCGTGAAACTAGCTAACGCAGGTTCAGATACCACAGAAAGAATCATTTCCTTAAAAAAATTAGGTGTGCGTTACTGGCAACTGGTAACCACTATGTTACATAGGACCAGAGTTCCTTGGTGACTTCTTTCAATCACCCAATTGGAGAAAAATGATTTGATAAAACCGACCTGGTTTTCAACATCGTCTCTAACATGATTGGATAAGCTAGTCAATATATATAACTCAACTTTTGTACTAATGGAGATACTAATGGATTAAAATGAGGGCGACCATAAAAAAATGCTTATTATTAAAGGTAAGAACTGTAAGGCGGAATAAACTTTTTAATGGTGTGAAACATGTTCGATTCGCTTACTGTTTTTGTGCCCCTTGACAAATAAAAAAAGTGGTTTTCTAAACGTTTAATGAATAATCTAATTTCAAAAAATACTGTAATTCTTCGAATTCGGTAACAAATTATTGTTTTTACTACCTTATTTATGTTATCTCGTACTTCCCATTCGAACAGCTAGGGTATAGTCTATTCTGAGGGATGTTTCGAAAATGCTTGAGCAATGTCCGATGATTTTCACTTTGAATAAGTTTTCAGTGCTAAAGACATTCCTTTCTTTTAAAATTATAATGTAATGTGCTATTCCACGTAGATAGTCTAGTACCGACCTCTTTTCGTTATTTTCTACGAGCAGTTTAATACGTACAGCTACCTTCTTGTGCTTTCTTTTTAAGTACCGTTGCTTGATTTCTGCAATGGACTGTTTAGTTTTCAATCAATTTAGACGTTGTTAATTTTTTTAGAGGATCAATAAATTTCCGTATACTTAGATAAGTGGCACCAATAATTTGACTAAAGCATCAATGCCATCCTAGAACCTCATTGTTCGTTTTAGGAGGAAATTCCACAACAAAGAGCGATTGAACGTAATTCACATAATTAAAAATGTTATTCCCCCTTTCAATGCTCATCTTTATTATTATACGTCATTTTCAAAGTCGCCGTTATTAATGTTCGCCCTTTTTAACAGAACCTTTTTCATTTCCTCTTTTGCTCACACTCTTATTAATGTAGACCAAACAAACAATAGTAGTAACGTCCAGTATATGATAATCAGAAAAGACATATGATACCCTACTGTATTGACGAAACGTCCCAATACTAAGTCTCAAAAGGACTACATTTTTAATCCATGTACCATATGCTCGATAGTGTCATTATTCGATCACACTTTCTTCACGGTCAATATGTTGGCATTTGAACACCTAAATCTCAAAATAAAAATTTCTTTGAGACTGAAATCAAAGTCACATATTTGATGATAGGTTTAGAAAATAAGTTTATCTCACTTAAAAATAATGTTGGAAATACCCATAATTTAAATCATGAGGTAAAGAATACATCCTTTTAAAAGAGAAAAATAGATACTGTTTTTGCGAAACAATGAGCTTATTATAATAGGAAAACTAAAAAAATTAATAAATACCTGTCAGTTAAGTCAAGTAATAAGTGTAACTAATTCAATCAACTTAGTCAGCTTTATTGTTAGTGAAGGTTTGTGGAAATTGTGGAATATTATACTTAAAACATCACTAATTATTTTAAGTTGTTTTACTATTGAAAAACAGAAACCATTATATCAATCAAGTTCAAACATATTGGGTGTAAGACAGTGTTCCACCAATGATAGCGTAAGACGATTGTGAAATACCCTGAATGGGTTGAAGTGGGAAATGTAAACCAGTGGATGCCGACTCAGTAGTTTAAAAGTTAAGGACTCACCACGAAACCTGAAGGTCCTGGGTTCAACCCCCGTTGTGAGCATGGATGTACACTAGATTCTGCTGAATGAATTAAATTCTCTAAATTATTACTAGATTAAAATATCGTAAGACAAAAGTGTCCCCAGACAATATGACTATGGAGTGATTTATTGAATACAAAAACGAAAAATACTAATTAAATTTAAATGAATACGAAATTCAGTAAAATTGAACTTGTTTCAATAATCATGTCATATGTCTGATGCTTTGTTTGCTTGTTTACTGAAAGAGAACAGTTTATGGTATGATTAGCTTTTAAGAAAATAGTGTATAATATATAAAAAAATATTATTGAGAGAATGAACACTGAATTTTATGCTACACAGATAAGTTAGTTTGGACCAGATTGCCAGGCAAAACGTTGGATTTACTTCAAATCCTTTCGCTGAAAGTTTACCGATACATTCTTCCTCTTTACTATACAACATTGTTTCGTGTATATTAATCAATTCCTAAATTTTCATTGTTAAACTTATAAAAAAAGCGGATAACTAGGGATAAAGATGTTGAAATTTCTCGGAAGTTTTTTTAAAATTTGGTATAAGGGTAGCAGTCAAATCCTAGATGTGCATTTCGGTCTATTTGAGATTAATTGGTTGGATCCACCTGAATCCCAATGTTGATGTTCACAATAAATCTTGAACTCATTACATTTCGCTTTAAATGCCCAACGACAAATTGATCAAATCCACTCCTTAAAATCAAGAATGTAAAACTGAAACGTTTGCAAATAAAAAAGCCAATTGGGATAACGAAACGACAGGAAGGATTGATCAGCGACTCCTACCTTTACAATCGTAAATATACACCATTTCTTTTTAAAATCCCAGCATATAAGATTCCAAAAATGAACCGATTATTTTAACGAAGGAAAAGTGCAAAGCCAGAAAAGCTGTAAGAACAAACATTTTTTATCTGGAACTTCGGGAAGCAATAAAGTATGGTGCTAACAGTAACTAGAAAGATTATTAGTCTTGAAAAAGTTAGTTGTACGTGTAAATAAAATACTATAAAATGACAAATGTTAACCATGAACTATAGTCAAAAAATGGTCATGGAAACCAATAAAATCAGTTTAAGATGATAAGCGAATAACAGTGTTACAGAATAGATGGCCTCTTCAGATTAGGTGAGATACAGTGGCGTGCTTTTACTAGACAACGTTAGATGATTGAAATAAAAACCCCAGTGACGGTTACACTCTTATATGCAACACACCCACTAACTGGATGTGAAAATGCTATGTATAGTACTTTTTTAAAAATTGAAAAAAGAATAGTTAATTTCACACGTACACTGAGGGTTCCAGACTTATACATATCTTCACTCCTACTCAGCAGTTCCTAGATTATTTTCAATTCCTCTCTAGCCTTCCGAGTTAAATATTTAGATCCAGTTTATATTATTGCGATATAAAGTTGGAGAAAATCGGCGTACTGGTTCAATGAAGTCCCTTTTTCAATTGTCAATTCTTTTCATATTCCTATATGATTTGGATGAAATAAAATTTAGACTTTTCTAATCATCAATTCAACACATAATTAACCAAGATGTAGAACTCTACCACCTGTGTATCTCAATGATTCATCTCCAAAGATTATTGTAATCAGCATCATTGCAGTTAAATAGTTCAGTGTACACCAGCGTTATCTCTCCCTCTCTCCCTCCCTGATTATGCGGTCTGATTTATCATTAATTGTGTTAAAATTACTACTGGGGATTGGATAATGAGCATGGATAAATGTAAATAAGTCAGCAACTTTTGTTTATTCGTGAACATGTTTTCATTTTTACAATATTATTATCATTGAAAAAACGGGCTTCCTACTGTGTTATTGATTAACCAGTTATGAAATTTTTATTTTCACGATATTAAGATTATTAATCAATCAATTGTAAATCGACTAAGTTCTAGTTTGTCTGAAATATAATTTGTTAATCAATATGAGTGACCTATGCTCTTCCACGTGGGGTAACAGGTGTAGGTAAATGTAAAGTTGGTAATCAATTTGTGGTAGATCGATATAAAAATAAGTGATTCAGTCGTGGTTTTACCAAATCTTCACAAACCCCCTCTCCTGCACTAATAAAAAACATGTGTTAACTAGTGACTACTTTCAAGAGGTGATTCCCTGAGTTCTAGTGTTAAACCGTAACCAGTGGAGTTCAACCTTGTCAAATGTGAGGTATTTTCACACAATCAGTATTGAGAGGTGATTGTGTAATACTCACGAATTGATTGAAGTTAGGTTTTTGAACCATTTGGATAACAATTCGATGGTTTACTTGTCACACACTCATCGTGGGACCTGACGGTCCTTGGTCCAACCTCAAATTTATTCGTGAATAAGCAATACTGAAGGGTCTCATATTACGATGAAATATCTTTCCAGTGTTTCCTGATTCTCAATGGTTGTTTATCTGAATTCGATCTGTAATGTAAACCACTAAGTTAAACAATCTCCAAACCCGCCCTCGCTGTACTATCAGAAATCCGTTTTTGTCGTGTTAAAGATAAATATCTGTCCATTTTCTCTTCTGTCTGTCGTCGGGTCTTACACATTCATGTGTGACTTTCTAAAATATAAAATCAGTGTATTTGTTCCAGTTAGTTTAATTATCGATATATTCGTTATTAAGCAATTATATTGATAAAAGAAAACAATTTTTCCTTTGTTTATTATCAAAATCACATGGTCACATCAAGAAGTAATTATTTCCAGCTAATATTTGTTTGAGTTCTAAAGTATTTATTATCACTTTGCATTTATCAGTATAGAGTTGCGGTGGTTGTAGAGTTTAGTTTGATATCATAAATGGATCGATGTTAGACCACCGTTGAGAACTAGGAAACATTGAATGGTCGTTTCGTCCTAGTATGGGATTCCTCAGCAGTCGCGTCCACGATCCCGCAAGCGGAACTTCGACCCAGGACCTTCGATCTCGCGTGCGAACGCCTAACCTCTGGACCACAGAGCCGGCCGTTTGCATTTGTTTGAAAGGTCCTCAACGATTTTATCCCTTATTTTCCTTCTTTTTTACGTGCAACACCATTTTAAGACTATTAATTTTAAGAAAACTGACATACATTTCCTTGGGTTCTGTTGTGTTTTTGAGTAAACTTAAGATTGACTAAACTTTGTTCAAATTCTTAATGATTAAAACTGAAGAAATTATAATGAATGATGAAAGTACTTTTGGAGAACATTTAACCAACTTTCTGTTGACAATGTTATGTAATACATCTAGGAAAATAAATGTGTCTGTAGGTAGGTGTGAGGCTAGAACCTTCAACTCAGTTCGTCGATGAAGTTTTAATCAGAACAAGATAAGACCCTCAGCTATAAATTTACTGGAGAAATGATCTAGCATACGTTTTAAAATAATAATATTAATGGGATCGAATTGTCACTTTTAAATTTCATCTCCCATTATCCAAATCACACTTACAGGTCAAGATTGGTGTTAATATCTGTAACTTTGAAGTTATTGAATATTGAGTTGAACCGTGTTGGTAGATGCAAACTGTTTGGTTGAAGTTTTCGAGATTATCGTCATCAATAATTTGGGATGTGTAAAATGACTTACAATGGCATAGATACATTCATTCTTGCCTCCCCTCATATATCTTCAGTTTCAAAATTATTTTAAAATTTTTATTCCGAAATCTCATTTATTCTTCTTTAATCAATCACATTGTTTATGAACGCTTTTTCCTCCTACTCTGAAATTTAAATCAAACTAATGCACACATGTGCCTTGTTCTATCTTGTTATCAGTGTGTGGGTTATGAAGATTGTTAAGGTTTTGATTCTATCTTGTATATGAATAGCTGATTTGTATGTTTGGTTAATTGATAGGAATTAGTGGCAAATCACTTAAATTCATTTATATCAATCAATCTTAGAGTATACAAGCACACTTTAAACTGTAACAAACTATATACTCATTTTCAATGAGATAAGACTCGCTGTAATTGAAATTGAAGATGATAAGCGTAATATCAAACGATCAATCTATGAATAATAAATACTGATTCATTTTATTTTATTTTTTTAATTTTTAGCTCTCATTTTCTTAATAATAGTTTACATCACAGACCGTTCATAATTAGATAAACATTGAAAACCAACAAGCATTAAACAACTGTTTTTCCTTAATATTAAGACTCTTTATCAGTGCACATCTATGATTCCATCTGAACTCAGGACTTTCGGTCTCGCTTGTGAACTCTTAGTCTTTATACAACTGAGCTGAAACCTACTGGTACACATGCCCAACTCTAATCCATTCATTATATTTCGGGGTCATCTCTCATTAATGGTCACTGCTGTGACAGAGTTCCATACTCAAACAAAACAACCAGTTAGTACTTCCTGGTTTTCACTGGTAATCTAACTTGATCAATGATGCAAATTAGGAAATCTTAACAATCCCCACATATCCCTATACTACTAATACTAATAATATTAGTAATTACTATTAGAAGAGGTTTTGTGGAGATTGTAGTTATTTCAGTAGTTGAGATCATGAGTCAATTGAAGCTAGATCACGATAGAAAACCTGGAAGCACTGGAAGGCAGTTTCGTCTTATTGTAGGACTCCTCAGCAGTGTGCATCCACGATCCTGCCTTGCGAGATTAGGACCCAGGACCTATCAGTCTCGCATGCGAGCACTTAACCTCTATACCACTAAGCCGGCATCCAACAATGTTAATGTTTAACTTCAACTAATCCACGAAATTGAGTGACACACCCACCATTATCTTTATTGAATTACTATCTCACAACAGACCCAGTTGAACTCCACTGGTCATCTCGTCTCACTAGAACTCCAGGATATACCTCTTGAAGCCAGTCACCAGTGAGTATATGTTGATTGGTATTTGTTTGTTTTTTATTATACATCAATGAAGAATTTAGTAAATTGATTAAAGAAGAAAGATTATTCAACTCTTTGATCTTATCTTGAATAATTAGGTTATTTCTTTTATTTACAGTTACACTCATGTACATTAATAATAATACTGATCAAATTGATTAACTCATAGCTGAATCTGATAGAAAAAAAACAAAACAAAGTCCATATTTGTTTGTTTGTTTTTGTGTTAACATTTTCATGGAAAATTCATGTTTGTTTTCCTTCTTTTTCTGATGTTTCTCATGATTATTATGATGATTATGATGATTGTTACATTTTTCCTTCTATAGAAAATCTCTTCCATGTAAAATGGTTAAAACGGATTTTAGTGTATGGTCATTTGTGAAACAATCAATTGGAAAGGTAACAATTATTATGATTATCATTGTTAATTCTATTCAAAGAAAAAAGAACAGAAGATTAAATTTCATTTCGTTATTGTATTAATGAATGAGTTTCGTTGAAATTAGATGTGATTGTTTCCTGTTAATTCGAAATGTCTCTTAATTGATTGATTTTATATTAAAAATATTTAACAAACAGATAATCATATTTGTAACTAAACATTGATTATTTGAGTGTCAATTTGATTTTGGCCATACCAAAATTACCTAGTTAGGATTTTCTCAGTATCTGTAGTTACTGATTGGAGCTGTTGAATGATTCAGAATCATTCACAATGGTGTAAATTCATTCACTTTTCAGCATCATCCTAAATCATAAGATGTAATATTCCTTCATACATATCTTATTTTTTCTTTCTACCTTTCTGAACCATGTTTGGTCTTTCTTATCGGGATTACTGTTACATTATTTAAATTCCTTTGCTGTTCATCTTTTTTATGTTCATTTTGTATGACATCTTCGCCCAACGCACATATGTGCCAGTTTCTTCATTGATTTTGACTGTTTTACTTTAGGGGGCTATCTTTATTCAGTTACTAACTGTTAGGTTTGTGTAGTTATTGATGGGATGAATACACTGGATCATGGTTCGTTTACTAAATCTGAGTCAATAAAACAAATTAGTCGAATTAGCTTAACAGAAAAACTTTTTTGCTTTAACTATCCAAAATTACGAGATGATATTCTGTTTCCTAATCTGTATGCTTTTACGGTACAAATGTTAGTTGCTATAGTAAAAGACAACGTTTTTATTTTTTTCTATAAAACAGTCAGGAGGCCTTTCTGGTTGACCTTGTGTTTGATTGGTTGTTCTCCATATTACCACCTTTGATTAATAATTACACGAATGACTGATCATTCTTAAAGTCTTATCTCTAGAGGAGTAGTTTTCCATTAAATTTTTGGTTATATTGATAAAAAGTTAACATAGCAAATAAATCAACGTAATTACGGACTGGTTACAATTGTTTTAAAGTTTGATAATTTAGTCAATAGGGAAGAAATGACAAAAAATGTAAGTGTTTGAATCCTCTTGTCGTTAATATTAAGGGATGAATTTCGATCGAGACAATCCGCTCAGGATAATACACAAATTGCGAAAAGTGATTGATCAATTACCGTTTTTAAGATTAACAACCGAATGATTCAAACCCTAGCTACTGGCTATTGTGACTCATTAGGTCAGTGGGTAATGTGTTAAGGTGTTTGAAGTGAAGATTATTGATTTTGAGTTTCGGTATGAACATCAATATTATGGTGCAGGTGTACATTCAGCTGATGACTTCAAAATAGAAGAAAAATCACTAACCACATTCCATCCATTCTAAAGATTATTGTTGACCATTGATTTTCTGCTCTCATCCAACTAAAATCTCGTCTGTTTAGTAAACAATTTTGTTTCTTATTAGAAGGGTTTTTAGAATATTATAGTAATTTCAATGGTTGGGATCATGAGTCAATAGGACGAAACGGCCGTCCAGTGCTTCTAGGTTTTCCATGGTGGTCTAGCTTCAATTGACTCATGATCTCAACCGTAGAAATTTTGATTCTACTAATCATCTCATATTCACTATTCAAAAAAGCAAACAATGCAAATTGACTAATTATATTTTTTCTCTAAGCAATTAGAAGTTATTACTCTCTGTTTTCCGAAAAAAACTATATGTGATCGGTTAGCTTCGTAAATTATGAAAATATTGATTTTCACAAGTATTGATCAGAACAACAATTAGATTATGTAATAGTGTCAATTACTGTTCACTACTATGATATCATCAATTTATATGGGTGATTACACATACAATAACTAGGGAAGTCTCCTTATGGGAAGAAATTCAACTTGTTTTGATTGAGTGATTGTTGGATAATTAATAATTTCAAGTTAGTTTGCGCTTATTGGTTTTAACAAGCAAGGAGTACATGACAATTACTTTGTATGAGGTTGGGACTCTTCAAAACCATGCTCTTATAAACTTCCTAATAAGGGAGGTGTATGCTTAACCTTTAGATTAATGATTTTCCGTCCAATAACTCACATTTACAACTTATATATCTGTTGCCTGGACCGTTGACACTGATTTTCTGTCCGTTCCCTAGACCCTTCCGCTTAGAATTCTCCTGCATTTCACCCTTAAACAAAAAATAGGAGACGAAAATTATGAAGTGAAACTTTCAAAATCAGTTTAAGCACAGAAAAAGGGTAGTTTTAGGTTTGCGTTACGACTCTAATTCTCTAGTAGCCTTTGAAACTAATAACAAGTAATGATCCGATCAAAGAAGGAAAAATAATAGATCGTTTCTATAGGAAATTCTTGAAAGTTTCTATTGAACAGTGATCGGAAAAAGTGTTTTCAACTTTTTTTTAGCATGTTAAAACGTTTACGAGGGATTATCGAGGGTTTCCAACAAAATTTCAATTAGTTGCGTTATTGTCATCCAGTAAAATTATTAGATTGCTATTTTGAAATGATCGAGCACCATTGGTTACGGTTTTCCAGTTGAGCTCTAGGAATCTAGTCACTGTTGTGTATATGGTTCTCGTTATTGAGAGGTTTATGAGTAACCCTACTGTAACTATTGACTGAACATGAAAAGTTGGTCTTTGACTACTTAGAGGTCTAAAAATACCATTCTCCTTGATATATGTAAGTCCTGTGTCGTAGGTGTGCATATAGCTAAGTAGTCTCAGAATAGAGTGAAATAACTTTCTAGTGCTGTACCATTCTGTTAAGTAGTTTGTTAGTGAATGCCGTTCGGCGATGTATATAATTTTTAGTATGAAAAATCTCTTACTGCTCTCTTCAATTTACTAGTTTGTTAATTACTCAACTATCGCTCGTATATTTCTTTTCTACTTCAAGGAACTATCTAAAATCACTATGCCAATCATTCTTAATGAACCGTTAAGTTTTCTACAACGTGTTGCTGAATACATGGAATATTCCGAATTACTAGATAAAGCAGTTGGAGAGAAAGATCCTATTAAACGTATGGAGGTTAGTTTTATTCCATCTAAAAAATATTTTCTCATTTATTCATTGGATTGATGTGTGTAAGTGACAGTCATCACGTTACAATAACTGATTAAACTCACAACATTAATAAAGCAAATTTCGTAACCAGTTTAGTCGTTGTGGGGTTTGCAGTCACATCAACCTAGTTACTACTAATATAACGAGTAAGAGTCAGCCCCAACAGTCAGGTTTTAATTGATCAGAGAATGAGTGACCTACGAACTAACTTGATCCAATCGCTTGAGATAATTTATCACGTTTATTCTGTGTTTAGAATTAATGTATAAGCGTTTCCTTTTATTACGTAAGAAAACCTATTTTTCTGTCGAGTTTTCTTGTCTTTGATCTTAAATCATCCCATAGCTTACGTCAATAATCCAGTCTTTGTGTGGCCATCACTAAGACACACCGTATTATAGCATACTTTTTGTCAGTAGAAACTCGTTTCATTTGCTTTAACAACCAAAACTTTGTTCATAAAAGTGTAGTTCATAACTACCTACCCTTGGCGAGTATTCTACCTCTAATTTTCGTACTACTTATTATTGGTTACTCCATACACGATCAAATATTTAAGGGAACCTAAGGAAAAATACGAGTAATCTATGCATGTCTGCCATATCTACCTTCAGTTGAACAAATCCATACCAAACGTTTTTGCACCGTGACCTAGAGCCATTCAAGGAACTGGTATTTCTTTCAATGTTATGTACTTAATCAGTATTGATGGAAAAGTCTGTCAATAGAACAGTTCTTAACAGTGTGACTAAGAAACAGTAAAATATATCCTAATAAAATTGAACGAGATTGATGGAGTGGGAAATCCTTACCGACATCTCATAATACATCTATTTTAAACAGTTCGGTCAGTGAAAAGCCTTCATCAGACTGATTCAATTTTTCGATACATATTGTTCAATAGTAGACACAAATACAAAACTTCCAATCAGAAGTTGCATGTCGTTTCCATTTCAAAAAAATGCGGTTTTAGTCGATAAAATTGTTAAATACCCAATGGAGATGGATAAAATATACCTATAAACCAATACTAATCGAGAAGGCAATGTTTCATTTTTTCATTTACACAACATATGAAATTATAGTTTACTGTTAGGGATACTAAACTCAAAAATGTAACGTATTATGAAAGTTCGAGTAGAACGATCCTTTTTTCAATATGGATTAACACCAGTATCCGGCATTTTCTAGCATTTTTTTCCCACTCCGATAGTATGTTGTTGTTACATATAAAAGTGTAATTTTCACTAAGGACTTCATTTTAATTATCTAAATCTGTTCTGTAATAACATACTACTGTTGAGCATTCCAACTAACCATATTAAAATACAAATAAGGTGTAATTCAGAGTTTGAAATAAGATGTTCAAAGAAAATTTTACTCTTAAATGCAGCAATCACTCACTAAATGAACCTAAAAAATAAAAATAAACAGCTAGATATCGCACACATATATTGAATACTTTAAAAAGTATCAGTATAGAGTTGTGGGGATTACTAAGGTTTTGGTTGAGATCATGAACTGACTGATGATGGACCGCCATTGAAAACCTGAAAGCACTGGACGGCTGTTTCGGCCTAATAATCTCCACAACCCTATACTGATAATTACCATGTGCTCACTATTGACTAGCTTCGTGAGGGAATTTTCGGAGTTCTAGTGAGAAGCCGTGACCAGTGGAGATAATCCGTATCGGGTAGAGACAGGTATCTGCCTCAATACAATGAAAAATGGTCACGCAATTTCGTGGATTAGTTGAGGTTAGACATTAACACCACTGGATGCCGGTTCAGTAATCTAGAGGGTAAGCGTTTGCGTTCGAGACCGATAGGTGTTGGGTTCGAATCCCGCGAGGCGGAATCGTGGATGTGCATTGCTGAGGAGTCGCACAATAAAACGGAACGGCTATCCAGTGCCTCCAGGTTTTCCATGGTGATCTGGCTTCAATTGACTCATGATCTCAACTGTTTAAATTACTACAATCTCCACAAACCCCTTATGATACTAAAATTAATTCATTGAGACTTCACATTTAAAAATAGTAACTATACAGTTTAACAATAAAAACAATCCTGTGATTCAATAATAATAATAATTATTATTATTGAATTTGATCAATAAGTGAACTTAGATTTAAGCTGAACTCTTTTAGAGTTTTTATCATATAGATCACTTTTTGTAAGATGTATGTTTCGAAAAAGTACAGTTTAAGAGAGAGAGGGAGAAAGAGAGTCGAAATTTGTCGTGTTGGGGTTTAAAGTATCATTGGAATAGTCATTATTACTGTAAATCGTATTTATGAGACTGGTGGATTGCCAACTATTTAATGAGTAACTTTGAACGAATTGTATGGAAACTGGGGTTAAACATTGCTAGAATAATAGAGTAGTTTGATTTCACACTGAATTTGTTTATCTATATCTTTATGTATTTTTCTAATTGTTTACCAAACACAATTTTGTAGTGAAGTCAGATAGTGACTAGCTGTGGGATTCAGAACACGCATTTCATCCTGTTTGTGAGTCGTTAGCCGCGTGTACCAACCTCTCATTACTGAGACTCAGAGCCAGAACATTCCACCTCAAACTCCTGATGGATTATCTATCAGGATATTGAGTCCAGATGGCCACTAGCTTTTGAAATGGGTATGAAGTTTATTTGTAAGATGAAGGTATAGCTTCCAGTTCCAGTATGATGAGTCTAGAGTATGATGAAACGTGAGTTCTGGGTTCCAATGCTAGCTACTGTCTAACTTTAACGAGAAAAAAACCATAAATCTGCATTGAGATAATCTTTCCAGGATGCTAATATGTTAAAAAGAGGCTGGTCAATTACAGTCTTTGACATTAATAAAAAATGGTAATACAAACTCACTTAAATATTCTTTAGAACAGAACAAGAGAACAGATAATTTATTATATTTTATTAAAAGTTTTCTAATTTTACAAAGAAATCAATAATTTGCAGACTAAATTCGAATAATGAAAATCATTATTGCCTTGAATATACTTTAAATGTTAAGCATTAAGTTTGTAAACATGTTCAAGTTGTGTTTACAAACTTCATAGACTGGAATTAACATGAAATAAGTTGGTAAGATTTCATTTTAAACAAATTTCAACTCGATTGGATTATTTTTCTGGTTAGCGTTTTTTTAGCGAGTTAGTTTTCTACGGGATGGGGACGCTAACCCCATGCCCAAACCTCCTCCTTTACCCGGGCTTGGGACCGGCAGCTACTGAAAGAAGAAGAAACTAGTATGGAGGACAACTGGAAAGGCATCAAGGAAGCATTAACTTCAACGTGTCAAGAGGTTCTGGGCCTAAAGAAACACCATCATAAGGAATGGATCTCTATAGAAACACTGGACAAGATCAAAGAAAGGAAGAACAAGAAGGCAGCAATTAACAACAGCCGAACACGAGCAGAGAAAGTCCAAGCACAAGCTGAATACATAGAAGCAAACAAACAAGTGAAGAGGAGCATTAGAGCCGACAAGAAGAAATACGTGGAAGAACTAGCAACGACGGCAGAAAAAGCTGCTAGAGAAGGAAATATGAAACAGCTTCACGATACAACGAAGAAACTAGCAGGGAAATACAGTAAACCAGAGAGGCCGGTCAAAGACAAAGAAGGCAAGCCAATCACCGAAATTCAAAAACAGCGTAACAGATGGGTAGAATACTTCGAGGAACTCCTGAATAGGCCGGCTCCAATGAATCCACCGGACATCGAAGCAGCACACATAGATCTTCCTATAGATGTCAACCCACCAACGACGGAAGAAATTAGAATGGCCGTCAGACAAATCAAGAACGGGAAAGCAGCAGGACCCGACAACATACCAGCTGAAGCACTGAAATCAGACATCGAAGCAACCACAAGCATGCTTACCTTCTATTCAAAAAGATTTGGGAGGAGGAACAAGTGCCGATGGACTGGAAAGAAGGACACCTCGTCAAGATTCCAAAGAAAGGAGATCTGAGCAAATGTGAAAACTACAGAGGCATTACACTACTGTCAATACCAGGGAAAGTCTTCAACAGAGTGTTGCTGAACCGGATGAAGGATGCAGTAGACGCCCAACTTCGAGATCAACAAGCTGGATTCCGTAAGGATCGGTCGTGCACAGACCAAATTGCAACACTACGGATCATCGTCGAACAATCAGTTGAGTGGAACTCATCACTATACATCAACTTCATTGATTATGAAAAGGCATTCGACAGTGTAGATAGGAGGACATTATGGAAACTTCTTCGACACTACGGAGTTCCTGAGAAGATTGTCAACATTATCCGGAACTCATACGACGGACTACAGTGCAAAGTAGTGCATGGAGGACAGCTGACAGATGCATTCCAAGTAAGGACTGGAGTCAGACAAGGCTGTTTACTCTCTCCCTTCCTCTTTCTTCTGGTGGTCGACTGGATTATGAAGACCTCGACATCTGAAGGAAAACACGGAATACAATGGACAACTCAGAATCAATTAGACGATTTGGACTTCGCAGACGACCTAGCCCTCCTATCACGTACACACGAACAGATGCAGATGAAGACAGCCAGTGTAGCAGCAGTCTCTGCATCAGTAGGCCTCAGCATACACAAAGGGAAAACCAAGGTCCTCAAATTCAAAGCGGAAAACAGCAATCCAATCACTCTTGATGGCGAAACTCTGGAAGATGTAGAGTCCTTCACATACCTAGGAAGCATCATCGATGAACAAGGAGGTTCAGATGCAGACGTAAAGGCGAGGATCGGCAAAGCAAGGGTCGCATTCCTACAATTGAAGAACATATGGAACTCAAAACAACTTTCAACCAATATCAAAGTGAGAATCTTCAATACGAACGTCAAGGCAGTTCTACTGTATGGAGCTGAAACTTGGAGAACTACAACAACCACCATCAAGAAAGTACAAGTATTTATAAATAGCTGCCTACGCAAGATACTCAACATCCA